TTCTAGACCTCAACCAAAAATGAGGTCAACACTGCACCACTTAACAATGAACTTTTAGCATTATCCCTTTGACCGAGCACTACCCCCCATAAAACCCCACTGCCACTTATTGAAGAACTTACACTCCTATCTACATAACTTGCACCACTGAACATTTAACCTTCACCACTACCCTTCCAACGAGCACAAGAACAATAGAAATAAAAGAGATCTCAGGTTCTCCATACAATTCCCCTGATAATTAAGTATAAATATTGGAAAGATATCAGACTACCTTTAAACAACAGATAAATTAAATTAAAACTACCACAATAAAATACATCTATGAATAAATTTAACCTAATTTTACATAATTAGCATTTTCCACCTTTCAACAGAGTCTCAACTCAGGACCATACACAACATTTAGTAGTATAATTGACTCCTTTGTTTTCAAACATTTTCTTAAAGTAGTCAACCGAAAACAGCATGGGGATAACTCATTACCACTGTATGGCATACAATATATAATTTTCTCCTCAACTAATATCCAATGAGAACAAAGTGACAAGATTTAAGCAAAGTTTAGAATTTATCCTTCTTTTAGATATTTTATTATTGGAGATACCAAACATAAATTTTAAAAATTAGCATATATAAGCAATTTTATAGCCCTAAAACATGACTTAACTTAAGTGAGAAGTCCATACACAACTTATAAAAGGCTTCTTTATCATTGGAACTAGTTTTCTGAAGAGAGTTGTGCTAAATTTTCATGAATAACATAATATAGCTCATATAATGAGCTAATTCAAGGAACTATTTCAGCAAGCACACAATAAACATCACGAAAAGTGATGAATTAATTCTCAATGAAATAAATGTACACATAAAGCTCACGTAATATTGCATAATTAATATTTTTCACCTTCATCGTAGTCCCAAATTAGGTATTTGCTTTACTAAAGAAACCATATAGAGTATATAGCAGTGTAATTTATTCTCCTTTTCAAATCTTTTCTTAAGAAATTTAACCCAATACTACTTTGAGATAACTCATTATCATGCAATACTTTAAGATAACTCTTGGGATAGTTAAAGTATCAGGATGTGCTGAGCATAGGGTGTATTAATTTATTGAAGCTAAATTTAACTTCAGATAATTAATTGAACAACATAATAAGTTCAAATGAACTCGAAAAGTTTCAAAATATTTTAAAAGTTGTTTAAGGTTATGCCCCAAACATTTTAGGATCCTTTGGATACTTTGAAGGGCAATTAAACTTATTATTCTTTGTTTAAGAAAATCATGCATTAAAACTTTTAGGGACCCACCAATTATGCCCCAGGACTCGGCAACTACATGTTAAATTGAACTTCTTGCTTTCCAATCATGCAATTTATATAAATTTCCCGTAAAATTTTATATATGTGCTGTAAGTTCTGGCATTTTAGTGGAAGTGTGAGAAGATGACAGGTACGTATTTAAATTTTTGCAATGCAATTTCCTTTCATTTTACTTTACTGCATTTCCTACTTGTACTTGCTTTAATTACAAAAACCTTTTTCAAAATGAAAAATTACAAAACCATTTTTCAAAATTAAACATCATTTTTCAAAAACAATAAAACCAACAATACCATAACACGTCCTTTTGAATTTAACAGTTGCTAACGGAATCTCCCCAGTTTAAAATGAGATTAACAGCTCGTTTAAGTTAAGTAAATTGAAAAGAAAATAATGATACCTTAACGAGAAAACCGTGAGATCCTAACTGATGTCTTTCTAATTAATTTTAACCCCCCCCGGATGATTGAACTAAACTTGTCATTTAAACATTTGAGTCTTTAGACGTTAGGACTGTTACTTCGCTGAGGAACCTGAACCTAACTACGAGGGCAACATTCTACAACCACAAGTGGATCTACAACATCAAATCTTTCTTTAGAATTAAATAATAAGTCATAGGATTTTGAGGTTGTTTGTCTAGTGCAACATAAATCCTTACCTTATCTTTAGGCATTTGCACAATTATGTTGTGCAACTTAAGTCCTAACTCGTTTTAGGATTCCGGGGTTGTCGTTTGTTACGATATAAATTCTCATATCTTCCAGACTATTTGCATGATTATGTCATACAAATGTATGCCCTAAATAATAATAATTGACAGGATGAAACACTTGATAATTCTCTTCTCAAAATTAAAGCCAAAGCATATTATAGTTTGGGAAGTCATTGAGGTTCTCCTCATGATCTGTGATAACCCCCTAATTTTCTCCCTTTAGATTCCATAATATTGTTTCAAATTTGAGTTTTTCCCATTTGACACTCTTTGGTTCGATCTTTGAAAAGTTCTACCCTTTGAAATTCTTGAAGACAATACTTTATGATATAAATTGAGAGTTTTCTTAGGTGATTTTGGTCATTTAAGATGTATTTAACTATAGAAGCTTGTCCTTATATGAAACTTTAAGAACTCAACCTAAAATAAATTCTTAATATAAACCCTATCTAATCTTTCGTATTAGATAGAGGAAATTTGTTGGTCAACATAAATGTTCGCAGACTAAAACGGATGTCATAAATTCTTTAGTTTATTTAACTGTGTCTCATCAATACGTAATGTGCCTATTCCTCGGGATAAATGCATTATTTGCGGTGATTGTGCTCGTTTATTTAAACTATTATTTTATATGGGATCAGTTTAGGCTCGTATTTTCAAAAATTAAAGTATTACTTTACAAAATTTAATAAATATTATATTATATTAAATCAAATATCTTCTTCCCAATTTGGCGACAGACAACCGGGGCTATATTAGTCCATCACCTTGGATAGAATCAGAGTGAGCAAAATGAGGGTTTACTTAATGGGTTAGGATGGGCTCTTAGGTCCAACTAACTCAACCTAAGATGCATGAGTTCTAGTGATCTACTCGTGTACTTATGCTAGTTATGGTAGGCACAAGATTAGCTAGGCTAGACATATGTGAACTATGGTTGGATAAATACTACCACGCCCTCTCAATGCCCATTAACTAACATTTTCTCAAGGTCTGAATTAAAGGGTGTACGAAATCAAACTAACAATTATATGTCAAAATCATATTCTCCTTTCCCTAATAAAAAATCTCGCACTTGCAAACTCAAAAGTATTTTAAAATGGAGAACTATAACAATTCGATCATTGTAAGTTTCAGTGTTGTAGAGCTAAGCCTTCATCTACAAACAATATAACATAGCAAAAGGAAACACATAACATACTTAATAACTTAAAAGAATAAAACAAAACATAATGAAACGTGCAAATCTAACATTCATTATTAGCAATATAGAACTCATCTCAACTTCCTTCACAATGCATCCTATTAGCTTCCCCTCTCTTCAAGGAAACTTAAACTTGAGGCCGGAGCACCGGAGGTGGGGCCGGTGGCCCGAAATACTGCATAGCCCGGCGTCTCCGGTAGGCCCGGCCCAATAAGCAGCACGCGATGGCCAGGATCGCTATAAGGAGAAGCAACGGCACCGATATCACAACAACGAATTCCATCAGAAACGCCGAGCCGAACAGGGTACACCGTCTCGATCAACAATTTCAGTGACACGTATTCCGGCGCCGGTGTCGGAGTTATCCGATGAAAATTTGACGAGCAGAACTCAGAGGAAGGAGATGATGCTAAATATTCGTAAAAAGGAAATAAGAGGAAACAAATTCCGCCCTTTTACAGTTAACCCCGTTGAAATTACTGATTTACAAAAATTGTACCTTTTTGGCTCTGCAGAGGCTGGAGCTTGACGATATAGCAGTGTTGTAATCTGAGGAGATGAAGCTCTTCTTAGAGGAGAAGGAGAGAGAGAGAGAAGGAGAGAGAGAGAGAGACAGGTGAAGTGCCTAGGAGAGAGAGAGAGAAGGAGAGAGAGAGAGAGAGAGGCAGGTGAAGTGCCTAGAGGAGTTGAGATGTCAAAATGGGGAAATTAATCTTAATTAAATAATAATGATAATCATCAGGTTACACGGCAGATCAGCCTAACCAGGGACTTGCATTTGGCTTTGTTATGCTGGATCCCGGTCCGACCGCTCCCACTTCCGCTCCCAACAGCGCAAATTGTTCCCGCGAACAGTCTATTGCTTTGCGAGAGTCGTGTCTCCCGCTCTGTTGCGACAGTTCCCGCTTCCTGTCGCGATAAAAGGTATTGCACGGCTCCTTCAGTTTCTAAGTCATGATTTTTGTGTTCTTCTTCAGACTTCCTCGGCAGACGAAGGAAGAAAGAAGAAGATGATTGTTCTCCCTTGACTTCTTCTTGGTGGCTTGTGACAGAAGAGAAATTGAGTTTATTTCTCTTGTAAGTTTATCTTCTATGGTGTATCTCAGTGTAGAGCTTCTTTGGCGTATCTCGGTGTAGAGAGAGAAGAAGAGAAAGCAACAAAGTGAGTGATTCTTCTTGTAAGTTGAGACGATCGACACGATACAATTACTCGTGCCGTCTTTTTTTTCCCTCTGCTCCAATCGAAGAATCTTCGTTGTTGTCCGTATACAACTTTGCGTTGTTCGTACACAAAAAATTTTCTAACATGTGAGTGAATTTACGATTTAATTTTGATTTTATTTTAAAAAAAATATATTAAGTGGAATATTGTTGGGATTGAGCTGGCTAAGAAGGGATAGATTCCAGCTGAGTCTTTATTGTGATGCACTAATCTCCATTTGTTTGTTGATACAAGAATAAAGTTAGTATGAATTTTGACCGTTTTGTTATTATCCTTCCAATTTGAGATGACACTTGGAGTTCTAAATTTACTTGATTGTATTTTATATATGCATGCAAGAAACCTATTTACATACCCACCA